TGTGGTGCTTGTTGGATGAGACCATCTGCACCTAACATTTCTATCCTCATTGCTTGTTCCTTTGCACTGCAGTAATATCATAGACCTGGAGGTTGTAAATTGCAAGAGAAGTTATGCAAAATGGCTTTGGGGCAGTTTATGTTTGTGAATCTTTGTTGTTGTTCTTGTAAATACAAAACCTGATGCACCAGACTAAAAATAATGTCATCAGAATAAATTCTCTATAAATGTTTTCTAAACCCCTTGAATTGTGATTATCCTTAAAACTTGTGTTCAGATGGCTCCTGTCACGCAGGCAGAATGAGGGCTCCAAGTGGCATGAATAACTGCCCTTGGCAGCACTATTCACCAGAGAAGTAGCTAAGTTGGGGTCCTGTATGTTCTGACCTGCTCGAGTCACAGGTCATCTATTCACACCAGCTGCTGCAGTGTCCAGTAGAATCTCCTGCGTTACTTTTTAAAGCCTTCTATATGCAGGGACAAAAAATAGATCAGAAGACTCTCACATATGCCATGAAGATCCTTTCCTGACCTGTGTGCTGCGCAGTCACCTTCTCCTCCAAACTCTTTCCAACCAGCCTCACCTCCCCGGGCTGTTCCAAGGGTTTTGCCTTTGTTTTTACGAGTGAGCCTGAGGTTGTGGTGTTCCCTTCTGCTCATCCTTTGGTAGGGCTGGTATGTTGGGATATGTTGAATCTGGAGCTAAGACTCTGGGAATTGCAAGGGAGCTGACAAGTGACAGCTTAAAGGAGGAGTCAGATTTGGGAGTCCTGATAGTAGGCAGAATCTGTATCTGAACCTGAGCGAACGGGCTGCTTCTCAGAGAAGCTGAACACTGTCTTTGCCTGGAACCAAAAGGAAGGATATAGGTGCTCAGCATCCCTGGAATTGAGATGCCAAGCTACAGGCTGCCAATAAATAAATAAAAAGCTGACCTCTGTTCCCAGGCTGTAACCTATTCTGGCTTGGAAATACAACATTTCAGATGTGGAAGGATATGTCCCTGCTTGAGCAGCCCATCCTGTGAGCTGCCGTCCTCCAGGGAAGCAGGGTGGTTACGTTCCCATTTTCACGGTGCGGCTCTTCATATGCCCTCAGAGAGCTGTGTTCACTTTTTAAATCACAGCGCTCTGTACTTCTGACACTTCCGTGCTGGATTGCTAAGTACCGAAGCTACAACATGTGTTTGTCCTCTGTTCCCTCCTGCCTGATCCAG